ATCTTCTAATGCTTGACTCCAACTATAAAAACGCATATAAATGGCAGGAGACTGCTTGTCCTTCCTAGGCCCCATCATTTCCATTTATACATTACAAATTAATAGATCATTGTTCCCCTTTACAATTCCATCCCTGGATTAACAGTGAAAAGGCATAGGTCTGCTAGTAAGCACTATTATGGCACAGAAAGATTTCTAGCCCAACCTTCTGTATGTTTCGCCGTAGTGTTAACTTTAACATTACCATTATAGTCCTAGACCTAGTCAAGTCCAGATAGTTGTCCATCTTACCATAATTTTTTCTTCCATGCTTTGCCCCTCCAATATTCTTCAGACATGGAAGAATAGGAATAGTTTAAGACTTCACTTTGTTGCAAAAATTACATAAAATCAGAGCAGCAATAATTTCAGCCGAATATTTCCTGTACCTATGGATCAATTCTGCATAATTGTTTGGCATATTGTTATCCCCTTTAGAAAACTGCTTCAGTTTATTGATGTTTTGGGGTAGTCTTGCATGAACTACTACTTCTGTTTAAATACAATATTTCACTTGAGTTAAGAGCTTTGACTTGGCTATTCCAAAACATAAAATTTATTCTCTTTCATTCATTCTGTTTTATGTTTGTATGTTCAGGATCACTGTCGTAGTGCATGACTCATGTTCATTTAGACTTTGTGCTACAGATGGATATTCTGACTTTCTCTTTTAGAATTTTCAGTACAATCCAGACTCCATTGTTCCTCCAACTGCTGAGTCTGCAAAATAGCCCCCAATTATGATATTTCCATCACCATGCTTCATAGTGGGATGCTGTGGGATTGCTTGAACATAGTTTTTTAGCTTGTTCACAGTTTCCTATCCATGCCATAAAAGTCTGCTTTTATCTCAATCATAAAAGCTTCAGGGCATTCGCAAACTGAAGATGGTGGCAATATTGAGCATTTTTCCCCCTGGTATTATTCATTTTTTGTTTGATATCCTCCTTGTAATACACTCATGAATACTCACAGATAGTCTGCAGATCTGTTGTCATTATTCTAAGTTTCTATACTGCAGCCTCCCTTCATACTGCATATCCTGCATTAGAGTGATTTTTGTTGCACCACCATTTCTGGGAAGTGTAACAATTAGCTTGCCTTTTCTTCATTTATACATTGTCTGCCTGATTGTGGATTAAAGGAGGCCAAAGATTTTGGCTGTGATTTGTAACCATTTCAAGCATTAAAATGAATTATATGGCTGGCTAATTCATAACTGTGATTCTATCTAGTGTACAAAAACAGAAAAAATAGAGTTATGCCTCCAAGTTAATATCCTAGCCCCAATGGAGTTAGTAAAGTCTCAGAATGGCATCAAGTCACAGGGCAGGTACCACAACAAAAAAAAGCACGATAATCAAATCATTATTTTTCTGAATTGGGATATCTCTTTTGATTGGGACATAATTTATTTCCCCATGAATTCGTTCTCAAATGACAACTAGTGTTTTTTGTAGTGCAATACCAGTACAATACTAATGCAATATTTGGTTTTCAATTGAATGGTATAGAATGTGAAGGATGTGTGTTTGTGTTTTATTTTTATAGTTATAATGTACACTGAAGATGGCATTTAATTTCGTGGTATGAGGTGCAATGACAATAAAGTAAACTTAACTTGTATGTGTGTATGCATATGTTTGAGGGGGATGGTCCCTATATTCTTTTTAAAATATAATTTTATTGAAAAATTTAAAAACAAGAGGAAAGATAAACTAAATCAGTTTGAAAGCAAAAAGAAAAACATATAAGAGAGAATTCTAAAGGGTAAAAAAGAAGAAAAAATGATAGACTAGAAAATATAAAGTGACTTCCAATTTTCCTTTCAAGCAGTTATGAGAACAATTGTACATTTACCTCTTTCTCTAAAGTTACCTCATGACTCTCTTATTTCTATAATCTAGCCTATTTGTCAAAACTATAGATTAAGTTCATTTTTCTGTTTTACACAAGAAGTCCATAAAGGATGAAGAAGTTTCCTATAATCAAAGTCACATCTTATTGTCATTTCATTTGATTGGAACATTTGGTTCAACTTACTGAGAGCTATTTATCCTAAGGTTAACGATGGTTTTTTTATATATATATAAACACAGAATATTGGCTCAATGTGTTCTGTACACACAGGACATAGATCACTATTTTCAGTGCTCTTTACTTAACTAGAATATTCTGTTCCATATAGGAAACACTATGATTTTTAATCATTGATCCTAGAATCTGTTTAATAAGGGTTGGTTGCACTCATGTTGTTATTTCAAGAACATTTGGAACATTAACTCTAATGGATTTGATTGTCCCTTTATTGCCGTATCGTGGACTGAAATCAGTTAGTCTGCTAATATTTATTCATTCTCAATTATGTAAGAACAATCACTGAGTGTTAGATGCCTCTATTCCAGTGTTTCCCAACCTTGGCAACTTGAAGATGTCCGGACTTCAACTCCCAGAATTCCCCAGCCAGCGAATGCTGGCTGGGGAATTCTGGGAGTTGAAGTCCGGACAGCTTCAAGTTGTCAAGGTTGGGAAACGCTGCTCTATTCTTCTTCTTTTGCATTGCTACTTTTGGAATCTATCAAGAAATGCCATCAAGAACTGAAGCATGGCGGTTGATAAAGAATATGCAATATTGGAAGGAGAAATGCATAATAAATTTGCAAGAATGGACTGATGGCACATTGTCATTATTTGATTTTGTTTCAGTAAAAGGAAAAGGACTTTTGAGCAATAAACTCAAAACTATCCAAAAATATATTATATTCTTTAAGTTCTCCTGGACAAATATTTACGGACAGTAAAATAAAATATAAAAGCTAAGGTGAGCATATACCCTTATTTCCCTGAAAATAAGACCTCCCTGGATAATAAACCCAATCGGGCTTTTGATCGCATACACTATAATAGGCCCTCTCTGAAAATATTGCAACATAGCAGCAGCCATAAGGTGACCATGCTCACCGCCTTCTGCACCTCAAAAATAGTATTTCCCTGAAAATAAGCCAACTGCTCATTTCGGGGGGAAATAAGACCCTGTCTTATTTTTGGGAAAACACAGTAGATTCTGCATTGTTAATATACTCCTCACTTTTATAAGATATTAATATCACCATGAAAACTAGAGGAGTATAAAAATGAGAATATAAAATAAAATAAAGCCTGTGAATTTAAATTTACATCATAGGTTAACAAGCAGTTATGGGAGACAGATTAGAATGAGTAAGTGATTTGCTATGCCGAATATTTGCTTTTATATTCAATCTTCAGCTGAATAAAATATCCTTTTCTGGATTCCTGGTATCATTTGAAATTTAGGAGAATCAAATTTCAATAATATAAACTATGGATTTTTCTCAGGTGGATGTTTATGATTCTTCCTGAACTTCTCAAAGAATTTTCTAACAAGTTGTAATTAAATGTATTTATATTCCAACTCTTCCTGACATTTCAGCAACATAAAAACTGTAATTAAAAATGCTGAAGAACTTACAAATATAAAATTAATCTTTTATGCAGTCATCTTCAATAGGCAAACCTCCTTCCTGCACAAAATGAAGATTACTGAATCAAACTAAACTTTCTAGTTGAAGTAGGAAACTGTTTGAACAAAATAATTGTTTGTTTGACAGGAGCATTAAAATAAACTGACAGATAAGTCATATTGTGTTTAGATACTGTACTCTAATCAATATATCATCAGCAAAACAGATCAAGAACTTTGGTAACAGTAAAGTTCAGAGAAACAGGTGAAAGATATTTAACTGCTGTTGTGGTGGGAACTGTAATTTGCTCATTCTTCAAACAGAGAGGCTCCTACCCTATGTGTTTTGTCATGTCGACCCTAGCTGTTGGAATATTGACGTCAAATAAAGGCACATTTAAGGTAAACAAATATTCTTAGTAATAGTTGTTAATATCTTTAAATCAATCTCCTGCTGAATATGTTTGAGTTCATAATATAGCAGATCATTCTAAGCCTGGAATATGTGACATCTCCAAATGCCCTGAAAAAACAACAGTTTAACAGAACAGAAGCAAAGTTAAGCATTATTTATTTTTCTTCCCTTCTTTTTTCAAATTAACAAGTCTAGGTGATAGAGAGACCAACTCTCAGGCAGATCAAAATTGTTAGCGCATTACCCAATTATCCCCTTTGAGGTCCTTCTGATCGAGAATTGCCAACTGACTCAGTTTTGGAGACAAGTAGTATCTAAAGGTGAGTCATGAAGAACCTTTATAACTTCTTGGGCACTATCTTGGAATATGCATATATCCCCTCCTCCCAAGTGTAAGATCTGAAAAAATTGTTTGTATTATCAATGGAACCAAGCAAAATCAATAGAAAAATGTACATTTGTAAATAAAGTATAAGTACAATCTATTCTTTACTTACAGAAAAAGATTGTATAACCAGATTGTGAAAGTTGATTGCATCCAAACTTCGCAAAAAAATTGCAAAAAATCACATGCAAAAATACAAAAGCAAGGTTTTACTAGAGATTTTATTAAAGGGTAAATCTGTCTTAACATTATCTGCCTGGATGTTTTCAAGATCAGTGTTTTACCGGTATTAAAAAAATTGGTGGAAAAAAAGCAAGTTCTTTTAAAATCGTAGTTCTAATTTTGGAACCAAAACTACTAATTAAAATTGCATTATAAGTATTCTATTTATTTTCGTCTTCAGAAAACTGTACCTAATCTTGCTTACATTAAATAACGTTAGCAATACATTTATTCAATGGTACCCAACTTTGTTCATTGAGGCTTACTCCTAGATACTGAGATTTTGTGATTTCTGAGAGATTTACTGTTGAGACCAGTAAATAAAGAAATCTGCGTCTATCTATAAACATTCTAAGCATGGCCTAAAGCAAATGATAATGGAGAGAGGATTTCAAAGTGCTTCTCTGAAACGTTTTTTTTCTTCTAAATAAACACAAATATATATGCATGTAAGTTACCAGGCTTCTGTGCATAAAGGCCTTCTCAGATTTCCCCTTCCTTTCTCCTCGATGCTGCCGATATCCTCTTCTTGGTTTAGGTAAAAGGAAGCAAAGATGTTAGCCTGACAAAAAAAAAAAACCGGCCCAGCAATTTACATGCACATTAGCGGTCGTAGATTTAAAAATAAAGGGACGCAAGCTGGATCCAAACAGAATGTTGGTCTTGTAGTGGTTGTTATCACTACTTCCGAAAAAAACAGTAATGAGACAGAAAGAAAAATATATGTTCTGCAATTGTAACGCCAGCGTCTTAGATTTGAAAGACAATAGCAATTTTTAGTTAATAATGCACCACCATTACCGGCCTTTATTTTCTGCTCCCGCTTCGAAACTGGGGTGGAAGGCTAGACCTCTTTGTCCCTCCCACAGTCACACTATTAGCCCCGCTTTCCTGCTCTTCTCAAATTCCGACACGGTGGGATAGCGTAGGGAAGACCGACTGTTTAGCAAAAATCTGCAATTCCCTACGCACTAAATCCAAGTGTATATGATTATGAGCAAAAAGAACGCGATTTGCTTCATTTTTCCTATTAATTTGATTACACCACTATCCTTCTTTAGAACAATAAAACATAAATGTGTAATGCCGTTCCCTCTCCTGGTTATCCAGTTAGGGTTTTCCGTCTAACTGATGATAATTATTCCGACAAAAGTAGGAAGAGCCAACTTGCGCGTGCGCAACAGTCTTTCGGTAACTGGCGGACGGCAGCCTATGGGATGTTTTTGAAGCAGAGCCGGCGCGATTTAGATTTACAATCAGGACCTTCGTTTACGTTCGTCCCGTTGTCTGCGGTTCATCGAAGGGGTTGAAGGACTTGGATAGAGACCGTCCTACTCCCCTCAGCTGTCACTCTTTCTCCCGTGCTCTCCGAGGTTGGTTGTTTCCTTGCAAATGTTGCGTTACCAGATTAGGTAATCTTAACTACTGAGTGCTGAAGATAATATCTGTAACAAAACATTTGCGAGCAACCAGCCAACTCATAGAGAGTCAAGGACTGCACAATTCAAGCCGAGTTAATATTCCCTTCTATTAATCTTTCCCCCGTAGTGCAGATTCAGACAAGAATTATTGTGAGTTTAAAAACTGACTTTCAGAAATGACACACTTCTAAAGATGAAAACTTTATTTAGCTAACATTAAAAAACAAATCTCTCCCAATAGAATAGAACAGAATGGAATTCTTTATTGGGCAAATGTGATTACATAAAAGAGAAAAAAAGAAAAAAGGGGAAATATATATTCAACAAGAATCCTAAAATACAACACTTAGTGATAGTCATAGAAACAAACAACAATATACATCGAAAAAATGCATGCAACATGGTTATAGTCATAAATGGGAGGAGATAGGTAATAGGAAGGATGAGAAGAATAATAGTAATAAAGTTTTAGTACCGTTTCCCTGAAATAATACCACCTAGGATAATAAGCCCAAACGAGCTTTTGAGCGCATGCACTAAACAAAGCCCTCCCCTGAAAATAAGCCCTTCCCAAAAATATTGTAAGAGAGCAGTAGCAATGAGGTGACCATGCTTGCCATCTCCTGCACCTCAAAAATAATAAGACATCCCTGAAAATAAGGCTATTTCAGGGGTCAAACAACAATAAGACTCTGTTTTATTTTCAGGGAAACACGCTAAATAGTTTGACAATGTTGTGGGAATTAGTTGTTTAGCAGTGATGGCATTCAGGGGAAAACTGTCCTCCTGTCTAGTTGTTCTGGTGTGCAGTGTCCTATTTTGAGGGTAGAAGTTGAAACAATTTATGTCCAGGATGTGAGAAGTCTGTAGCAGCAATTGTAGCAGCAATTGTTACATTTTATGATAATTGGTATATGTGTAAACACCATATTTTCAGACGGAGGACTAGTTTGTCCATATACTAATATAGCAAGCTTGAATGTCCTACTTTACTAATCAAGATATTTGGTTTGTTTGTTTTTTTTAAAAATCATTTAAAATGTATTACTGTGTAATTGGGAATTTGGATTGTCAAAACATTTAAAAGAAGTGCACTGCAACATGCTTTAAAAAGAATGAAACACCTGTTCTTGACTTGCTAAAGCAACTGTGATTTTTGCAAGCTTTATATGTCAATTTCAAAAACTGTCCCTTGTTATTTGTCTGTTTCTTCATGCACATATTCTCTGATAACTAAGGACAGGAATGATTTTGTTTCTAGAAGTTTCCTTTCTCTCATTAAATTATATTATTGGTACGTGTACTTTTTATTGCTTACTGAAGCCCACTTTAAAAAAATCATTAAAATCAAATTACATGTATATTTGATATTACATGTTTTGACAGCAATAAGAATTGTATTGGCACAATACTGGAAAAATAGGGAAACACCTACAGAAGAAGATATAATAAAAAATATTTGACTATGCAGAAATGGATAGATTAACACTGAAGATAAAAGAAAAAGAAGAGACAGAGTATTTTCAAACTTGGGACTTGTTTTACTAATAGTTGGATAATAGAGATAGAAACTAGGATGTTAAAAAGTATTACTATGTAAGCAAATTGACTCAGACAGTACCATATTCAGCAAGCACTCATTGTATGTAAAGAGAAAATATATAAATAAATTGGGGGGAAACCCCATTAAAAGTGTGCTGTCAAATTGGGCCAAAGTTTTATTACAGCATTCTCCTTTGCATAGCAAATGTTTCTGAGAAGTTCTTCCAATGATATAAGGATGAATCTTTTCATTTTTTCCCTAGCAACTGTGATCCACCCCACCTTTCTAGTAACAGATTAAAAGTAATATAGTGGCACTGTACTCAAAGCTAGATTTGGGAGAGGGGAGTACCTTGACTCCTAGCAATTGACTGGACATGTTTTTCAGTTTTCTTGTTGGAAGACATGTCCATCTGGGTTCAGAAAATGGAAATGGCTTGGAAAGATGGTTTAATAGTGGACAGGACCACATGGTTTAAGATCCACCACATTGGGTGAGAGAGGGAGATATATTTATTTTAAATAAAAATATTTTTATTAAACAGTTTTTAAAAAGAAAAAAATGACAATTTTCTTCTGTACAACATTTCCACATCGGTATACATCCATTATATATGCCTTTCTCCCTCCTTATTTCAATTTCTCTTTATCTATACATATGATACTAATATATACATTCCTTAAATTAAAACCCCTCATTGTGTATCATTTCCATTTATACATATTTCATCTCTACATATACATTGCTAATGTCTAATTCCTATGTATTCTCCATTTAGTATTTTCTTAAGCTTTACACCTGTCCTCTAACCATTTGTGCCACCCGTTCCATACCATATAATCTTATCTTTTATTTCTTTTGTGAGTCTGTCCATCTTTGCACATTCTAAAACTTTCCTTATCACATTTTCCTCTGTGGTATGTTATTGTTCTTCCAATTTTGTGCATATATTATTCTAGCCATTATGATGTGTAAAATTAAATACTGTATTTTTATCATATTTCCTTGGAAGTATTCCCAATAAAAATAATTCTGGTTTCATATCTATTTGCTGTTTAGTTATTTCTTCGAGCCATCTTCTTATACTATTCCAATATTGTTTAGCTTTTGAGCATAACCATCACATGTGGTAATATGTTCCCTGATTTTGTCTACATTTCCAACAATCTGGTGGTATATTTGGGTACATTTTAGCCAGTCACGCTGGTGAAAGGTGCCATCTATAGAACATTTTATACATATTTTCCTTGCAGGCTACTGCCATTGTCAATTTATAATTTTCATTCCAGATTTTTTGAGAGAGATAGATTTATACCCTCTCTTGAGCCCTGCCTTGGAGCTTCCTGTTCCTGTATAAGAAATGTATTCTGATTGGTTGTCAGACTCCCATGGGGCCAGATTGAATCTTGCTGAGTGTTGATGTTATGAAGGGCTGCTTTGGGCAATTTCTATTATGGCTGAGGGCTAATCCTGCCTTTGTTGGATCATGGGTGTGGGCATTTGCTTATGAATAGACCTAGCTCTCTCTTTATCTCTTAAGTGCTGACATCTACTATGAGCTATTGAGGAGGGTAGGGGCTATTAAGAGCGTGTCTGCTTCCTGCATGGAGAAATATTTCTCCATTTCTCATACAGGGAAATATAATATTCTGCCTTTTTAATATTTCCTAGAATATTTCATTTTCCTAGGAAAGGGGTGGGTGCTAACTTCCTACACTTGATAACATTTTCAGAAATAGTTTGTCACTGCCTTTTTTCAACTGGCCTCTTGTCTAATAGTTATTGGCTCAAGACAAACGATCTTAACTAAGTTTTAAGTTTCATTCAGTTTACTTTTCATGCAACTCAAAGTTGCCACAAACCAATAACCATATTTTTCAGAGTATAAGATGCACCTTTTTCCCACAAAAGAGGCTGAAAATCTGGGTGTGTCTTATACTCCGATGTGCCATACTCTGAAAAACACAGTAGATAAGATGCAGACAATAGTATAATATCCTTGTTATGTGACAGATATCAGTGTTAACTTTTCTTTCCAATTGAATTTTTATTCTACTCAATTATGAAGTGTGAAGCTCTCACCAACTACACTGCAAAGAAATGGTTTTGTAAGTTGTATTTCCCATCACTTTTACAACTTCATTTTATCAGCAAACATCATATTCCTATATAATCTAGTCACTTTCTTAACATAAATATGACATGGTTTTTCTTGCTTAAATAAGATTAACCTCATCTCACAAAGGAGAACTATAGAACCATTGCCTTGAAGAACATTTGTGTCAGTAGAAAAGGAAGCAGGCAGAGGGAAATGAAAACAGCCTCAGCAGAATGGCTTAGCTCAGCACTCTTATTTTTTATGCCACATTTGACAAGAATATTTTGGTAGATCTGTCTTATTTAGAGTTTCTGATAATTTATTAAGCTCAAAAGTTTGAAGATGGAGGCAGAGCTGTGTTCCATTGATACACTGGTGGAATACCTCAAAATAATTTTGTCTATAATTTTAATAACAACAATAACAACAATAATAATAACAGCTTCCACCAGTCAAAGCCAGAGAAGCAACAGGTCCATCCAAAGTTCCAGCGCCGACTGAACTGCACAGGTCAGAAAGAGTGACTAGAAAACCTGCCTACTTGTGAATACATAACCAACCGGATCAGCGCAACTAAGAGGGGCAGGGGAAGAGTGTTACATACTGATAGACAGTATGGTAGTTTCCACCAAGATCCTCTAATCTGGCGGGAAAATATTCAAGGTAATTGGTTAAGGCATCTGTCAACTCCCAGTAAAAGGGCTGCTGCCAGACAGAGTCTTTGCTGGATTGTACATAGCTGTAACTAATAAAGAGCTGTTGTTACTATTAGCCTGAGTCTGCCTCTTGCATTTTTTTTCAATGTCACAATAATTTTAAATGGTCCCTAAGTGGAGGGACATAAGGCAAGGACTACCTGTATGTCTATTTGTGTGTTGTGACATATTGCAGGATGAAATCTGGATACGTGCACAATTGTCAAAGACTTAATAGCTGTCCATCAACAGCCGAATCAACAACTAAAAAAACACACACCAGGCACCACATAAATACTACCCATTTAATAGCTCAAAGCATACATTCTGGTAGAGAGACATTACCCAAGGAAGTGCTCCAACATGAGTCTGAAAGCGTGGAAAACTAAACTTCTAATCCCAGTAGCCAATCTAGATTGGACCCTCCAACATTATCCTGGGATAGGTATATTTGCCTTTATTCATGTGACATATTAGGCACTTTCTGCTTTCTTCTGAGTCTGAAAATAAAATGCCATTGTTGCATATTTTTGCATCACATTGGCACAAACACAAACCTGTATATTTTTGTTTGTTCTGTAATATGAGAATGGTAGTATGTTACATTTTAGTACACCAAAGTCCCATGATTGTTATGACTATAAACACATACATATTCCCAATTTGAGCTGGTTTAACATGACTGGAGTGCAACAATTATGATTTGTATATGATTCTGATGCTACGAAGCCCTATTAGATTCTTATGTAGCCTTATTACGTTCTTAAATGAGGTGATGAAGAAACCGTTTCCTTAGCTTTACTATCCTAATTTTAAGATGTGTGCCGAGTTTGGGAAACATTAACCTAGAGGAGGCTTGACCGCAATTTCAAAATCTGATTGGTATAACTGTACGCTTCCCATATAAACTATACGGCTATACTTCCGTTCCTGCTGAGCGGAAGCCGAGGTATCCCGCTCGTTCCCTCTTCCTTTCCATTCCCTTTTCCGCTCAATCGCAGGAAACTCCAGTTTCGACAACACAATCGCGAACTGTTGCCAGCCGCGTTAATGAGAAAACGTTGCCGCGACTTCCGGAAAATGTGACCGGATGCGGGACTTGGACTGAGAAGGAAATCTCGAAGACAGCTATCGTGGTCGCCAGTAGATTGTTCATTGATCAGAGCCGGGTGAGGTGAGTATCTTTGCGGGGGGTTTGGGAAAGAAGAAAAATAGACCCTAGAAGGCGAAAAGGTTGCTTATGAACGAAGCCTGCTTAATGCCCAGCTCTTTCCGTGTCTCGGGGGCTCCCAGAGGCTTTTCTGACTGAGATCCTGTGATTGAGGGTCTCTTCCTCCCCCGTTTGCCTGCCGCCAGAGTGGGATTTCGGTAGCTTAGGAGCTTCTCCTTTCCCTTCAAAGGAAAGGTTGCTCTGAAAATAGCTCTGCAAATAATAAAGCTTTGGATTCTTCGCAGGATTCACAAGAGGTCCCTGCTAACAACTTAGGTGTTTTTTTGGGCGGTAGGCCACGACAGTCCTATTAGAAAGAGTATTTAGGCATTATGGATATTTAGTCGATGAGGAGAATGTCTGTTGTCTTAGTTTAAATTTAGATTTTTCACCAGGTTTATGTTTTAGGATGTTTTTTAGGGTATTCCTGTTGATTCGGGGGAGGGCTCCTTGGACTCATTTTTAAACTTAAAATGAATTAAAGAATAATTTTTCCATTCATGCAGAAAATGCTGGAAGCTAGGATACCATTTCAGTAGTCTTCACATAATATCATCTATAGTACCTATGTTAACTAGGTCAGTTTTAACCATGACATTGTAACATTGTCAGGTTTTTTTTCCAGCAGTTACGATTCTAGTTTTGAACAGAATATTAGAATAAGAAAATTAATTAGATATAAATCTTCTGTTTAGTTCTATTATATCTGTAAATTAACATTGATAATGTATATGTCTGTTTTCAATACTTTCTTTCAACTATCTTTTAGTTTCACTTTATGAAATAGTGTTCATCCAGACATCATTAAGATTAGTACTTCGATGCCTTATATATCTTGTCGTGCATCTTGGATTTTATACTGTACTATGATTTTAATATAGAATTCTTAGAGATTTGCATTGAATTAGTTATCTATGTAAATGTAATATAAATTTATGATATGTTACTGCAAAATTATTTGTAATTGTCCTGTGTGTTAACTTAATTTTTATAATTAAAATTGGATTAAAATTAAAAAAAATATGTTTTTCCTGCTACAATCTCTAGTATGACAACCAAATGCAATAAATTTTAATTCTCAGTTTTTCTTACAAGAAGATAATCTTGTTCGTGGATATGTTGGGGAATGGGTAAGGTACAATTACATTTGTCCTTAATTTAGATTTGATATGAACTAAGAGTTTTGACTATTCAGTTTTAAATGCAATATCTCAATGAATATTTTACTTTATCAGTGTAATTGCAAATAACGTAAAAAAATTCTCTAAGAATGTTCACTTTTTTTGGTAGAATTTCAAAATGACTAAAAAAAGAAAACATCAAGAAGATTTTCATAAACTGAAATTAAAAGTTGGGAAAAAGAAGCCTCGACTGGAAAATGCAACTGACACAAATTTCAGAACAAAGACTATACATCTTCCTGAGCAGCTGAGACAGGGTGGTATACTTCCAACCAATAATAGAAAGCTTAATATAAAGGTAAATACAAAAGTTTGAATACTCTGCCTGATTTTTGTAATTAGTTTCAGACCAATTTTAATAGAAATCAACTTTTGTAAAAGTAAGCATTTCACCAGATATGGAACAGAGCATTTTTCCATATATAGACCAGATTTCTATGTAATCTAATAAGTATTTCATTTACATATATAGTCCAGATCTTCGTATAATTTAATAAGTATTCTATGCTTTTTTCATTTAAATGAAAAACATTGAACAACAATGCTATAGTTAGAATGACTTTGGGTAATTTATTGTCTGTTATAAATTACAGCTTTCTCTGCTTTATGTCAGTTATATCCTGCGTATCACGCTCCTCTCTATTATTATAATTTTCAATCAATTTATCTCTATCATTTTTTTAAAAAATATACTTTTAAGAAGCAGTTGCAAAGTAAAATGCTTAAAATATAATATATACCTAAATTCTAAAACATTTTACAATGGAAAGCGTATTAACAGAAATGTTTTGTGTTATATTTTAGGATCTGCTTTCACAGATGAATCACTATAGTGCAGGAGTTAAGCAAAGTGCACTTTTTGGACTCAAGGACCTTCTGTCTCAGTATCCATTCATAATTGATGCTCATCTTTCAAATATACTGAGTGAGTTAGCAGCTGTATTTACAGACAAGGACTCTAGTGTGCGAAAAGCAGCAGTCTGCCTTCTTCAATTCCTGGCTCCCAAAATACGAGCTGAGCATATCTCTCCATTCTTCCCTTTAATGAGTGCTCATCTTTCTAGCGCCATGACTCACATCAGTGAAGAAATTCAGGAAGATTCTCTGAAGGTATTGGATATTTTTTTGAAGGAATACCCTACTCTCCTTAGGGATCGCAGTACTGTATTACTGAATAACTTTGTGGAACTTATTTCTCATCAACAAATGTCAACACAGCAGAAAAGTAGAGATAAAATTAGTTGGATAATTTCTGTTAATCCTAGCTGCAGAATGATGTCGCAACAATGGAGGCTGAATGTTCTAGTTAGACTCCAAAAATTCCTCCAGATCTTGGTAGAAGATTCTAGTGTACTAGAAATTGACAGTGAGGGGCAGAAAGAACGAACACATAGTGTAGGAATACAGAAGTCCTTATGTGTCAATTGGCAAGAACATGCCGCCGGCGAACAGCATATCCAGTTGTATGAAAATGTATATCCTAAAATCAATTCATTGTTTACACTAAGGTAAGAAATTCGTATGCTTGGAACTAGTTTAAAATGCTACACTTAGTAGTTATTGTTTACCAAACAATTCAATAAAATTGTTGTAATTTATTATTCTTTTAAAATTTAATTATGTATTCTTTGTTGAAAGCTTAGAACACTTCAGTGGGAATTTGCTTTTTAAATATATTACAATGTATTTTTTCTCTGATTCTAGTGAGCAGGTGATTCCCAGAATCCAGCATGGGTATAGATTATACCAAACAAATCATATTGTTTTTGATAACGTGGCTAAATTAGTGGTCGAAGAAAGGGCTGTGGATATAGTATAGTTAGATTTTAATATTTTATAAAGTAGTCTACATTCTTCTTCTTGGTAAAATAGAACAGTGTGTGGGAGAGACATTACACTATCCAATAAACCTGCAGTGTGCTGATCAATTACTTTATGGTCCTCAGTAGACCACCTATGGGTAGAGGGATGCATATAGTAGAGTTTCTCAAGGTTCTTTTTAGGCCCACTGATCTTCAATATTTTTGTAAATGACCTGGACGAGAGGATTGAATTAAATTTGCAAAGCTGAAAGGGGTGGGGGGGTGGGGGTGGCATTGCTTACACTTTAGGAAAAATATCTTGAAAGATTTGAGCCTTCAACAGAGGGATATATATCAAGATCAAGAGAAGTGATACAACTGCTCTATATTGCCTTGGTGAAGCCACATTTGGAATACTGCTTCCAGTCTAGCCACCACAATAGAAAGAAGATGCTGAGGCCTCTAGAAACAATGCAGAGAAGAGAACAGAGATGAAAAGGGATCTGAAGGCCAAATCCTGTTAAGAACAGTTAAGGAAACTAGGTATGTTTAGCCTAATGAGCAGAAGCTTAGGGGACACATGATATCAGTCATCCACTACTTGAATGGCTGTGGTAGGAAAAGAGCATTGATTTACTCTCCATAGAACCTGAGGTAGAAACAATAGATTGAACCTCATCAGAGGGAGATCCAATCTTAAAGTAGAAATTTCCAGACAGAGAGAGGAATTAAATTAATCAGTGGAACAGCTTATTTCCTGAAGTTTTGGTTTCTCATCATTGGGGGCTTTCAAGAAAACATTGGACAACAATTTTTCTGAAACCACATCAGGACTTCTGCCTCGGGCAGCAGATTGGACTAGAAGACCTCCAAAGTCCATTCCCACCCTATGATTTTGTAAAACTGTATACGATACTTGTTAGTGACTGTATTAAAGGCCGTTTTATTCCATCCTTGAAGGAAAAACACATGGCCAATGGATAAACATGGGGATGATTCTGTTATGTTTTGGAATAGATGACAATTTGTGGCACAGGAAAAAATTGTGCTACAAGAAAAAAATGGATTCAATTAAATATTAACATATTCTAGATCTAATACTCCATAATCAGTTTAAAAAATGAAGCTAAAAGCTAAAAATTAATTACATTTCAATAGGACAAAAATGTAATTACAGAAGGATAGACTCAAGATCTCGTGAAGTTCAAGTACCACTTTACAAAGCTTTAGAAAGACCACACTTGGAATATTGCATCCAATCCTGGTCATCATAATATAAAAAGATGTCGAGACTCTGAAAAGACTGCAGAGAAGAGCAACAAAAATGATTAGGGAACTGGAGGCTAAAACATACAAAGAATGGTTACAGGGATTACATATGTCTAGTTCAGGGATTGGCAACCTTAAATACTCAAAGAGCCACAAAGCTCCTAATTGGAAGCCCCCCATTCAATTCTAAAGCCGACCTGAAGTCCAGTTCTCCCACCATAGAGTCTCTTCTTAGCGAAGTGTCCATTTTCCTCTACCTGTCCTAACTGAAAGCCCTATCAATTGTGGAGCTGACCAGTGATGGAGCCACAGCTGAAGGATGAAAGAGCCACACGTGGCTCCAGAGCTGCAGGTTACCGACCACTGGTCTAGTTTAATGAAAAGGGGGTTTAATAATTAGGGGAGACATAGCACTGTTCCAATATTTGAGGTGCTCCTACAAAGGCAAGCTCCCCCCCCCCATTGTTTTCCAAAGCACCAAAGGTAAGACGAGAAACAAGGGTGAAAACTAACCAAGGATATAAGTATCCTAGAATTAAGGAGAAATTTCCTAATGCTGAGAGCAATCAACCAATGTAACAACTTGACTTTGCTGTGGATGCTCCATTACTGGAGGCTTTCAAAAAGAGACACAACATTTATTTATCTGAAATGATATGAGGTCTCCTGCTTGAGCAGGAAGTTGGACTGGAGGACCTTACAGAAAATGAAGATTTTGAATGACCCAGAGAGCTCCTAGACTTGGCTATTTTAGAAAATCTGTGGTGATAAGTAAGGCATATAGAACGTTTTAATGTTCCTACTCCTCCTTGCAAAATAGTTTACAAAGAAGACAATAATGTGACAATATTCCCAAAGTAAGAATAGAAAAATGTTGAATATTATATCTGCCAAAAAATGTTTGCTGATTGAAAAAGTCCCCAATTTTCTTATTTTGAATCTAATGTATAAACAAATGTACATAAACAGTAAATATGCTCCAATGTAGCAGAAAGATGTCATGTTGCCTAGGGAACCTGAAATTATCTAAATAATACATATATTATTTCAGAAGTAATATTTACAGTTATTTTTATTTATTAAATTTATATGCTGCCCGTTTTCCCTACAAGGTGACTCTGGACTGCTTTTGTAAATTGGACTATTTACTAATTAGTTCTGAAATATTTAGTGTGCTGATGCATTTTATATGTACATGTTAAGTCTTATTCTGGTAAATATGCTTAGGAATGTACCTTTAAATACATTTGATAACATTTGGTTCTGAGTAAATAAATAAATGAAAAAGTGAACTCTTTGTTTTTTAGGTCTTTAAGCATGACAAGTAGTGATGAAAAAGGCCTGGCATCTATGAACAATTTAAAAGGTTTCATTCAAGTAATAATACCATTACTACTTGATTGTTGGATTGAGGCCTCTCCTAAACAACTTTCAACTCCAGTTCTTGGAAATATTCTGGAATCTGGATCTCAGCAAATTATGGAGGCAGTACTTGGTATCATTCATTTACTCTGGAAGCTTGCAAAACAAAACAAAGATCCATATGAAATGGTAAAAAGCTAAATTGCTGAAATTGTATGAATATTGGAAGTGCATTGTCAGCTATATAAATATGAAAAAATATGCTAATTTTAATAGAGTTTCTTTGTTTAGATAGCAAATGAAATTCATGTAGTCAGAATGTATAATATGAATTTAAGAGAAAGATCATTTCTTTTTTTAAATATTGAATGAAAGCTAAATTTTTCTTTCCTGAAAAGTAGAAAAGGCTACATAGCCTATGTGGATTGTACAATGTAATATTCATTTTAAATATTTCAGTTATACATACTTCTTATTTTCCTTATACTGCTTGCCTTGTACTCAACAGAAAACAATTTTAACAATTATTAGTCTGAGGATTCTTTCAAAATATAGGTGGTATTTTTTGAACAAATACAGCTTCTAATTGAAACAGCTTTTTTTAAATAACAGTTTCTTAGATTGTCTGAAAATTTGATACTAAACTGACCAGCAAGTGTTTTTCTTCCTCAAAATAGGCAGATTTTATATGGGGAGCAGGATTAGGTTTTCAAACTTCAAACTGAAAATTTATGGGCTGAACCTAAGAAAAATCAATTATTTAGAATTACAAACGCTACGGTGGGTAGGTTCCAGATCCTGTCCCAACTGGTATGGTTGGAATGAGCCTGGCGGCATCCATATGGATGTATGCATGCATGTGTCTTGGCACCTCTGTGATGCTCCAACTGCTTAGTGGACTGTTGCGCAGGTGCTGTACGCGCCATGCTTGTGCGCAGAAGTGCTGAAGACTTAAAACACTGGTAAGGAGCTCAGGCGGGCTGGTGGGCCCTCCGGAGCACCGTACCAGAACGGTATCCAGTGCTCAGGGCAGGCTCCAGTATGCCTGTACCGGGGTGTATTACCTGCAACTCACCACTGAAATACTATTACCTAAAGTTATGAATGTCTTATTGCATGTTTACAGGTGTGATCATAAAACAAACTAAATGAGCATTATAGTCAGACAAGTACCTGGGACATTTCAGAATTCAAAGTCCAAGAGATATGGGTGCTGGGGGGAGCAAGAGTTGGGTTATATGCATGCTGCATGTTTAGAAATAATGTTGTAACAAGGCCCAAGTCCAAGAATTATTAATTCTCCAAAGAAATCTCCATTTTCAAAAATTATTACTTCTAGGTAAATAGCATATTTTGCCTAATGTTCTCAGGGGCAGACAAAAGAGAAGCTTTAGATTGAATTTCAGCATAGCTTTCTGTGGTCTCACTGTGTAATCCAAGTACAATACCTTACAACAAATAGTAAGCACTTTGCAGGATCCAATCTGGATCGGTCACTTGGACCAAAGGTTTAGTCTTTGAGCTTTCAGACTCACACTCAAGGAACTTCTCTCTCATCACACCTTCTGAGGATGGGCTTCAGCATGAGTCCAAAAGTTCGGAAGAGTAAACCTATGAGCCAAATGACTGACCCAAATTGGATCTTGCAGTATTATTCTGGGACTTGTACATTTGCTTTCATTCGTGTAAGGGTTTTTCTTTTGTAAAGTGTTTCTTTTATGCTTTATAATGTTTGGCAGAATTTAAAATGCCATTTTTTTCCAGTTAGTTAAAGAAAATAATAAGCATTTATTTATTTATCTTATACCAAGAAAACTGTTTTAACTTGTTGGATTAGTTTATGAAAATGTTCTACTTTTCATCAGTTTATGAAAATGTTCTGCTTATCTCTTGATATCTAGTATTTCTTTCAACAGGAAATATGGCTTCGAGCAAATTACCTGATCGATTTCAAACACCATTTTATGTGTTATTTCCCTTACTCTTTCCAAGAAACAATCAAACAGAGAAAAAAAGATCATTTGAAAAGGTATGAATAAGACTGTTATGAGAGTGAGATACGTTGTAGGTTCTAAGATCCATAATCATAGGGGTCCGTGTTTAAAACATAATGGTGGGAACGGCTGTGGAGATGACTTGATGCTCAAAAAGTTGATTTTTGCATCATACACCTCTTAACCTGTCTCTTATCTTCATCACTTGTTCTTATAGTAAGAAATATATTCTGGATGTGCATAGACTATAGACACTCTGGAGATTAATGCATGATCTTTGTAAGTTCACTCCCAATGAGTAGATCTAAGCAGGTTGCTCCTTTTTTACTTTGGGCATTGTGGTACTATATATTCCTAACTCTATATGAAAATGCTTAGGAGATCCTCTAGAGAAAAGAATTGATGTTGCACCAAAATGCAGATTACTATTTGCAGTAGTCTTGACCTTCACCACAAATACTGGATGGTCCCAGATGTCTGGTCAAGAGTTTTTGAAAACTACTCTGCTCAATAAGATGTATGAAATGTCCAGACCTGGGGCAAGAAGTAAACTGCAGACCCTCTTGTCATAGAAAATTAATTGTTACAGTTACAATTATCTCCCTGCCCCTCATATTTTAGGCATTTGAATGCTAGCTGGGTGGACTGCTCTATCAATTTCAGTTTACCCACCAGACGTTAACAAAGAGCTTCTTTAGAAATGCCTCAGTCCAAGGACATGAAATGTAATTATCTGGGATGAATAGCCAGCATAGATTCCATTTAATAGGAAAGGCCGTAGTGCCATTAATTAGACTGACTATTATTGTTCTTCCTGAAATCGCTGCATTCTAAAGATACTGTTGGTAATGAGTGTCCAGGAATCTAGGACAATTACGGTACATAGCTCTTTCTTATAATATTTTAAATTTGTAGAGAAGTTACAATTCAGAGTTGTTATGGTAGCAGTCATTTATCTTTGGTTCTGAATGTGTAACCTTTTGTGTAGGAATTATTTGTGAGGTTTGTATCTAAAAACCAAAATTAGGAGTATGATGGTAAATGAGGGTGACTATATATATCTAATTGAAGCAATCTCACTCATTTTTACATATTAAATGAAAATATCCCTGTAGACTATGAAAATCTGATTTAGTAATAACAGCATATATTATTCCTTTTCAACAAAAATAATATTCTTGTTTGTGCAAACTAAAGTATTAATTTTGCCATAAGTGTATATACTGAAGAAAAGTATTGCATCTTAGGAAGGGAAAATGTATATATGCTTTAATGAAGGGTACTGCCTTAAACAATAATCTTTAAGACAATAATCTTTTAAGAGATAAAATCATTCTTTATATTTGTGCTTAGAATAATTAGTTATACTTACAAGATAAAATATTTTTTTTACTTTCTGGAGATCAGCTGCAGTAATGCTGAATTCTATGGTCTCTTGAACTGAACAACTTGGGAAGCACACCATCTTTGTCTTTATTCAGGAGAATACTGTAACCTGTTTGAAAATGGATTGCAATCAGCTTTTCATTGTGATTAGAAATAAATTAATCAGGTGAACCCTGAAAAGACACCAAGAATTATTTTTAATCAAAGCATTTCTGTCCTTCGGGAACCAATTTTCCTTTCTCTTTTTACTTATATTGATGCTGACCTCCACTCATTAGCAACCTAAACTAAACAATCATCATTCTTAATGGGAATTAGAATTGATAAATTTACTAATCAGTGTTTTAAAAAATCAATGCCAAATATTTATGCTGCAAATAGTTAGACTGTCTAGACTCTGAAAACAATTTAGGCCTGGAAGATGTATAGCTAGTCCTAAATTATAATCGCTGTTCGAAAAATACACCTGTGTGTCTAATTCAGCCCAGCTGACATAATTTGCAGTTTCTAGGACTTCATTTTTAGGGACAATTGATGGGAAACGCTTAATGGGCGTTTCTTTTTATCTTTCATATACAAGTTGTATGTTAATATTAGTCTGAGAAAATTGGAAAATAGCTTTTTTTAATATATATGACTTCAGACAAGGTTGTTTCTGAAGTGGGGACCTTAATTTCCATAAAAGTTCTGTGCATTTATCTTCAGATTCAATAGACTTAACTGGATCTTTGGTTAATTGCAAAGGGTAAGACTACATTCTGCCAACTGTGAAAAAAAGTCTTAGCATATTTTTGCTTCAGATATCATTTCTTCCTAAATCATAGTTTTATGGATTAGAAATTTATTATGTTAGTCAAGATTTTTTTTTCTGGCTGGGCCTTTCTTGATGATTATTCAAATTATCTCTAGGGTCTTTTCATTTATTGAAATTGAGGAAGGTTTTTTTCATTCATAGTTTTAATAAAGGCATTTATCCCTTTGCTGAAGTGGTCTAGAGCAGAGAACCACTGATGCGCTTTTTCCATGCCAGAAAACATTTTTACTGTAGGTCTAATGAAAAAACGAATCATAAAGAAAACTGTAGAAGTTACACTTTATTTCATTTGTATTTAAAAATCACATCTATTGTGTGTGTGTTTCTTTTAGCAACAAATACCATAGGACATCTTCAAACAATATTGATCACCTTTTGCTGAATTTAACTTTATGTGAAATCATGGTCTCACTAGCAAATACTTCAACACTGCCTACGGATGCCCATTGGCTGGACTTGATTAGAAAGTTTGTGATAGAAACTCTTCAGGATGGTTGTAAATTAATCAGTAAGCAGTTGAACAAATTGCTCAGAGTGACTTGGAGACTTTTAGAAATCCAGCTAAACAAAGGTAAGATGATATGAATATATGCTGCACTGCAGTCGCCCAAACTTTGGTGCTGTGTTATATGCTTGAGAAATTTCACTAGCTTATTTATTCTGGAAACCCAAGAGGCATTTCTAGAACATAGATAGCTACAAGATTGAGCAAATCTCCTGTTTCAAATACTTGTGGGTGATCCTTTACTTTGCTGGGAGTAGGAAAGCCCAAAGAGACTGTTGTTGAAAATCCACAAATGAGATCATTTGTCATCCTTAAATATATTAAGGGAAGACGTTGTCGCTACATACCGTCTGCTCAAATTATTGAACTCAAGCCAATAACACAACTTCTTTATAATGCCCAGCTAAACCCTTTTCCAATTTTGCACCATTAGAATTTAAACATTCCAAGTTTTTAAAATTAACTCTTCAAATCTCTACTTGTGTGTCTAATGCTGCCTTCTGTCTACAGACAAGTTTCATGGAATTTTAGGGTGGAATGGATGGCTATATTCAGTTATTGTCTAAGAGTCCCCCCCCCCCCCTTAAAGAGTAATGATTTTCGGTATGTGTGGAAACAGGCAGTGGCAACTGAAATCTCTTTGGACTTCTCTGAGATCTTCTACTCAGTATTGGTTATGATCATGCCGAAACCTTTATTAAATAATGTTTGAATGAATGTTTGAATGTTTATTATACTTGTATGCCGCCCTATTACATACGGACTCAGGGCGGCTAACAAACAAGTGGGGAAGGGGGAGATACAAAAAATGAACAAGACAAAAAAACAAGATACAAGATACAGATTAAAAACTTCACAACAATCGCAACCATGCAAGTGGGGCTGGGAACTCATCAGCCACAGGCCTGCCGGAACAGCCAGGTCTTGACAGCTTTGC